CTTTTGCACCCTGCAGCAAGAAGCTTCACAAAAATGAAGATGGTCTCGGCGCTGCTTCTGCTGAGCACCCTCCTGGGTACCCCCGCAGTGCCTTCCCGGCGCCCCTCTTGTTACAAGAGGGCCCTCAAAGACCACAACTGTCACAACATCCCAGAAGGCACGGAGAACCTTCGACAAATCGAGGACGGTCTGCAAGATCACTTCTGGGAAGGGAAGAGCTGCGAGGTGATCTGTTACTGCAACCTGAATGAATTGCTCTGCTGCCCCAAGTAAGACCACGCTCACTGCATGCACGCTCGTACAGTTCTGTATGACCACCCATTATGTTTCCACGGTTTTACAGTTGCCACTGGAGGAATAATTTTAAAGAAATGTATCACTTCAAATGGCTTGAAATTACAGCAGGATATAGCCAATAACCTGATACGCTGCCAGTTTTCAGTTTTTGTTCTTCAGGGGCTCACCTAGGACTTGCTTAGCATATTTTGTAAACCTGCATGTCCTATTATAGCAGACTTTAACATTTAAATCACCCAACTTTTGACTGTTCTGTTTGATCTAAACTAAGTACGAGAATCACATCAAATCCTTATTCACAGCACTTTGCAATGAAGGTGTTTTCAGGACCATAAACAAAACCATTTGATTTCTGTTCCATGGTAAATAATTGTATTGCTATTCCAAGGTGCATGCACATGTGTCAGTCGAGTAAGTGATTTTGTAAAGACAGCCGTTTAAGGCAGGGAAGCACACAGGGGGGAAGAGAGGTTCACAAATCCCTGCAAGGGAGGGAGGAGATTCAGCTCAAGAACATCAATGCTTCTCTGGCTCCCTGGCACCACTGACAAAGCTGAATGGTGAAGTTCTCATTGGACAAGGGTTTTTTTTGCTGCTGTTTTACAGAAAAAATGTACATACCGACAAAATTAATATTGAGTTAATAGACAGCACCAGCCCATACTGGTTTGAAGTAATAAAATGTATTAAGAGGTATTATTTCATTCAGCTTTCCAGCAGCATCTTTTCTTTGAGAAATTAAGTTTAAAATTATCAACACTTCAAAACTTACCAATACTTCAGGGACACTAAAACGCAGTGGCATTATATAGGCAAGCAAAAATTACTTTTTACATGTGCTCCTCTCACCAACCAAGTTTCTCAAGTCCCCTAAAATCCAATAAAAGGCAAGTTTTCAGCACTCCCACAGGGGACTAGATTTTTGAACCAAGTGGGAATGACTTCTACAGCTATAAACTTTACATTCAAACTGAAAGCAAGGTTTAAATAATTTTTTCGTATTTCACTCTCCCTAAAAGCAAATGTGGTGTCCTCACCCTGAAGCACGCTTCGGGTTTCCAGCTTCAGCCTCTGAGCTTTGAACAGCCTAAGAAAGCATCTGTCTCTGATGCAAATACATAAGGAGGTCTTCCTTCAACCATCCTGAGGTACTGAAGACCTACTTTGCCAGTCTGCTCTCAGGACAAATTGCACTAAACAGTATGTGTGCACATGCGGAAGCTCTTTATTTTTCTAAAATTATGTATTTGCTAAGTTTACTATCTCAAAGCTAAAGTATGAGGGTGGAGTCCTGGCACTCTGGTCAGTCAATGAAAGTTTTGCCATCACTTCCAAACCAGGCCAGCAGAAGTAGAAATACAGTATCTTCATACTGACAGTTGCGTTTGCATTGCTGGAAGGGTATCCCACAAACACACTAATTCCACATACATCCCACCAAAAGCTAAAAACCCAAACCAAAACAAACCCCCCAAAAACAACCCCACAACTGGAAATTAATGCCATGCTCTGATATGAAGCAATAATCTAATTATTTAAATATCTGGTGCTATCTTTCAGGGATATTTTCTTTGGACCAAAGATATCTTTTGTGATTCCCTGCAACAGTCAGTGACGGACATCAAGTCTGCCAGTGAAGACAACAGAAATCATTCTACAATCATGTAATAATGCTTTCAAGTGGAAAAGCAAAACCATCACCACCAAAAAACACTTCCTAACCACAAGACAGTGCCTCTTTTTACACTGTAGAAAACTTTCCTTTCTATACCTTTTTGGAATCTCAAATATGTAAGAAATTCTTCCTTTCAAATGTGGTAGCTGCCTTAATTTCCATGACGGTGTAAAAGAATGTACAAGCTCTTAAGGCACCCTAATATGCATCCCCCAGCAAAAAGCCTGACTCGTGTTACTCAGCACAACATTCTCCACTAGTTTTGACGAAGAAGCTCCAAGCTTAAGCCTTTGTTCGTGGTTAAGAATGTGACTCTCATAGAAAGCTGCACTTGCAGTAGGTTGCTATCACTTCACTGCCGCCACCCAGCTAATGTTGTTTTAAGCTGAAGCTACTCAGTACCTGGCACTTCTGCAGTCAGCCTCCCACATTCTGTTTAGGCATCTTAAAATCCATGCACGTACAAAAGGCAAACTTTCACCATTCGTATTTGAAAATTCCACTGGGGAAAAAATAAAGCCAAAATTCACATTAATAATACTAGAGAACACTTAGGTCTTAATTATTTCTAACTGGTCAACTGCATTAACTATGGAATCTGTGAAATCTTAAATTGTTTAAAATTAGCATTGAATTTTTAAAATAGTAGAACAGTTACAATGTTGTATATATATTCAGAAAGGCATCTAAAGAGGATGGGACTAATGCAAGGCCTGTTAAGGCAACAAAAATCCATGCCAAGCAGCTTTTTTAATCAAGCCTTGTTTGAAGTACAGTACAGAATTAAGTTAAAATGCTGCCTTTTTATTTTTAGGCTAGCCCTGTGGGGAAACAGCTAGGGAAGTGAAGACAAAGACATACCTCAAAATATTAGAAGTAATCATCTCAATGTTCAAAAGGTATTGTGATCTAGGCTGTAGATATACAGCCACCTCTCACCACATGCCAATACCGATTACAGTGCAAGAGGAAAAACAGCCAATAATTTATGTCCCTTTGTAAGTTTAAGGAAAACCACCTGACCAAGCCAGGCTTACAGGCAGTAAGCCTGTCTTATTGCCTTACATATAAAAACTCTCTAGCTATCAAGTCAGTCACATGGAAGGTGTGTAGTACTGAAGTAAATATTTTAAGTGGAAAAACCTAAAAGTGTACTGTTCATCTAATAACCTTACAACATTACACTATGAAACACTGCTACCACCAGTTTACCAGACTTCACATGCAGCATGAAATCCCACAATGACTGTTTTTCTTCCACTGTAAATAAGGGTTGGCTAGTGGGGGAGGGGGGATGATTATACATAGCTAATAATAAACATTTCAAGTAAATCTGTGTGTACTATTTTTGCCAAGTAATTTTTAGGCTACTGCCTGTTAAACAGTTTGTGTCACCAGGCTTTTCAAGCCTGGTTTGTGTAATTATTCCTGAGTCATTTGGGCTTCCTACCAAATTATCAATTAAGGGGGGGAAAAAACCCCCACCACACAACCCCAAAAAAACCACACAAATCTGGCAACCCACAGTCAAAATATGCAAAGTCAGTGCTCTGCTAAGAAAACATATGGTATCTGCTCTTGTGCAGAGTCCTCTATAAGCTTCTAGCAGTAATAAGGGCACGTAACTTCTGTTGGTTGTACCATCTTGTTTCTACATGAATCACGTTGCATATGCCTGACATTCACAGCTTTCCAAAGCAGCAGTAGCAAAAAAAAATTGAAGGCAGATGCAAATCTGGGTAGTAAAGTTGGTGGTTTCCAGCTACTTTCCTTCCACCACTCCTGGCTAAGGAAAATCCATAATCCACTGGAGAAGAATTTTGCGCCTTTCCACATGCAGCAGGATAGGGTCACTTAGGCCACTACTTTAAGACTGACTTAGCATAGAAACTTGGTTTTGTTTCTCTCCCCACTCTCCTTCCCTCCCAAAGCTTCTCCTACAGGTGCTGCCAGGTCTAGGTGAGAACATTCACCCCTGCCACGCGCTCAGAGAAAAATCCTTTCTCCTTCAGACGATCTGCCCACGGCCAGGTTCCCAGTCCGTTTCTCCGACTAGTACTTTGAAGATGACAAGTTCAGTTTGCGCAAAGCATATTTAGCAAACAACTTTACAGTCACCATAGTGAAATGGGCACCAAAACAGCTCTTCAGGGGAATACCAATTTTAGCTGCCACTGGCTAGATATCACTAACTGCCTTGAACTTAGGCCAACACCACAGAACTTTATTGTGGAAATAAGTAAGACACTGCAAGTGAAAGAAATCAGGCCACTAAGAGGTACTGGGAAGGCAGCCAGTTTGAGGTTAGGGTTTATCATCATTCAGTCCTATGAGCACGTCATGGGTCAAAAAAGCAAAATGGAGCATCTTAGTTGCAGTGATGCCAGCAAAGTAGTAGTTTTCAAAAAAAACTCACAAGATTAACATCGAGCAGATTAGACCACAGAAATACTGCTTTCTCATTTTTCCCAAATTAAGAAAAAGCTTTTAAACAGCTGGTAAGATTGAGACTTGTAACAAATGCTAATTGAACAAGCTGAAGCTGTGTCCTCCTCCGCTTTAAGATAAGAACTCTTCTCCCTCCGCCTTTTCTTCAACATATGTGCACAGCTTAAAGCAGAAAGAAATCATATTCCACATAACACACATTTAGACTGGCACAACAGTTAAATAACAATACAAGAAGTCATTCATAATATCATCTTCAACATCAGACTTTACTAGGATATTCAATTAAAAGCAAAAGTTACCATAAGTTTTGCTGTGGTGTGTGGTTTGTTTTTTTTTTTTTTTAAAACAGGCCTGAGCTAATGCATGCAATGAAAAAGAAATAGTATGCCTATAGAAGATACCGTATTGACCCAGTACAGACGCCATCTTCCATTCTCCAATTAAGTTCTTAGTCGCATTCTGTGCGGATGAACAGAGAAGTCAGCAGCTAAAGGATTTCTTACTGGGTGGAAGGATTTCTCAGCACAGTAAGCTGCAGCAGTCTTTTCATCCGTACTTACAGCTTTGAAATTTGAGAGCTGCATTTTTTTCCACTTTAATATAGGAGCAGGAAGGCCTCAGTGCTTGGAAGCGCATATCCCAGCAATGACAAGATGAATAAACATATCAGAAAAGCCCCCACCAATTCTTGTTTCCACTGGGGAAAAAGAAAATCTTACGCAGCCATTTCTGCCCAGCTAACAACTGGAACTGTCATTTAAAGCCTTTTACCTTAGGAAAAAGAACCTACTGCCAAGTCTGCTACAGTTTTTTTTTTTTTTAAGGCATTGCATCATGAGAACTTGAAGTACATTCATAAATATATCCTTGGCACACTTTAATTGAAAAATATTTTAATATTATTACATAATTAGTCAAAGCGTAGCTATGAGGTACAAGTAACTCACTAAATAAGTTACAGACACACCCACTCGAGCAACAATATCAGTGATATTTATTTAAAATACTTTTGCTGAGGAAATTTGTTTCATAAGAGATGGTTTTCAACCAAATCAGCAAGGTTATGAAAAATAAAACAGAGAAACTCTCTGGTGAGAAAAAAGTTACAAAGCTTTTGCATATCAACAAAAACCCTCAGTCTTTTGATGTGCGGCCTGAGTCTCAGTCCCAACCTTTTCTGTCTAATGAACCCCACTATCCATCTTTAGATCTGGTTTGTTCTTGTCATTCTTCACCGAGTAGATGAAATATGTTAAGGTGTCCTTTTCATTCACTGGAATTGTCCTAAAATGGCAGCCAATTATCTATAAAGGAAGAACGCAAGGAAATTAAATAACCACTCTTAGATGCAGAAACTGAAGATTCAGATTGAAATCAACTACATCACAGTTTAAAAGATTGATCAAGAAGCTTAAAAAAAACTACCTCTCTTCAAAAGTCTTTCATAGTCATCAAAAAAGTAAATAAGAACCATTTTACTGAGAACTATGGACTAGATATAGCAGATTGTACCCTCATTTCTGAAGTAAAAAAATCCCAGAAATTTTTTAGGGGAAAAAAAAAGAAAAGAGTTCTCAAAACAAGCATGAGAGCATCATTACATCTGTATAGTTAAAACTTGACTATAGAGCAAGTAATGACTACAGAATATCATCAGAGCTACAGCACAGAAACGAGAGGCTACTGCTCATTACTCGGGGGGAGGTGGGGGGAGGAAAGCATGTGTCTGTATGAAGTCCTGTAGAGAAACATCTAAGACAATACAAGAACCTTTGAGAATTATAATTGAACATTCAGGTCTTTGAAACAGAGCTATCAACGAAAATTTCACCATGCTGTAACCACATGGCAATCTCTAAACAGCTCTCTAATCACTTTTGTCATTTCAGAAGTCTTTCCCTTCATCAAAACAAACACCAGTGTTCAAAATATTATACCTAAGACTACTGTCTAGCTTTTTGCAGAATACTTTGGTAGATTAAAATTAGCAAGAGGAAGTGAGAAAAAATGGGACTGCTCATTTAACTACCACAGGGTATAAAAGTTAAGCATAATTAGCAAGTCAGAAAGCTTTCTAAACCCCACCCCCCAAAAAATTTCAGAGGAACAGTTTGACAAAGTCCTTTAAAGTAGACTTTAAGTAACAGCTAGAGGAGTGTCTATTGTACATTAGGACAGGTTACAAGGAATCACATGCACTGTAAACTAAGGAAGTTCTGCAGCTATGGCTCAAATACCTGCAGGTCAAACACCACACGTGACAGCAGCTTTGCCTACTGCCATCAAGCAGCGTAAGAAGCATAAGCTAGCACAGATATCTCATGAGATGCACCTCAAGCAGACCCTTAGAAATGCTAGTTTTGCAGAACAAAAACAGCTTGTGCTTTTTCAAATCACAGTCCTGCTAATTCAAGAGCTAGCTGTACCTCAGCTCACATCTAAGAAAACAGAAGACTGATTTTAAATTCTTACTTGGTGGCAGCAGCACTATTCTTTTATAGCTCAGCCTTGAGATCTCCCACACATTTAAGGACCTTGCTGCCTTTAATCCACACAGATTAAGGGAGAGACCAACAAAATGTCTGCACTGAAGTACCGCACAAAGGTGAAAATATGGTTGCTCTATCTCCCTATTAAAAGAATATCACCAGTTCTCCCACGTATTTACATCAGCATGCTGTAACTGCATCTTTGCAATGCAGAGGATTCCTTTAAAATGACACTCAAATGCGGCAAAGACGCTCGCATATAGCTGTACTCACAGCTTCAGCACTTTTAGAAATATTGATAGGAAAAAACTAACTTCATAAAGTTCCATTTTTCTGTAGACAGATCCCAGTGCTTTTAATTAATGCAATTATTAATAGAAGCCTGTTTTTCACATTTCTGTACTTTATATACACAGGAACACCTATGTTCGCATTAACTAGCTTTTTCAAGCAAAGTCTGAACCTTGCTAGAACTTCACTGTGAATCCATGATTCTACGATATTCAGGGACACACAGATAAATCTTACTGCCCCAACTCAACACTTCTGTGTTTTTAAGCAGCACAGGCTCCTTTTGGAAGAGTCCCTCCTCTGGAAAGAACCTTTTTACTTTTGATTTACTTGGCTCAGGAGCTGTGACCAATGAAGGAAGCTAGATAAGCAGTTCCCTTTTGTTCTCCTAAAACCCAGATTACATATGCTCTTTATGCAAGGATCACATTGTATAGAAAACCGCATGCCGTAGCAAGTTGCATTTTCTATTATGGAACAAACACTCATACGTACTTCAACGAGCTGTGCTTTGTTAAGCCCCGGTCTGGTCTGTAGCTTGAAGTGTCTTTTGTACCTTCGAAGTGTGTTTACTTGTAACTGATATAAATCAACCTAGAAGAAAAGAGGGGAGGGGGGGGGGAATGGGAAGAAAACAATCTAATGTAACTGAAAAGGCTTCAGTCATTAACAGTTCGCATCTCAAAGATTTTGGAATATCACAGGTACCTAAGTATAAACCGTCAGCTCAGCAGATCTCATTTTGACAAAAAGCAAACTCCACCCTGCACCTTCTAGCAGAAAGGAAAACATCCCAGCTCTGTTTAAGAGCATTTTACTGTTATCATGCACAGCTCTGCCTCCCTTTAGCCGTGGACAATATTTGAACCCATTATTGTACTTTAATCAGTTCTGGATTTTTTTCTCTGTTCCCCAGTGCAAGCATGGTAACACAAAGACCAGTAACAACTTTCATGAAACATCTACAAAGATCCTGATTAAAGGGAGGCCCCTATATTGTGTAAAATTTGACGGCCAAAATCACAAGTTGCATGCAAGATACAGCACATCTGCACCATCATTGCCTTGAGGTGAGAGAAGAAAACAGCTGCTCTTGCTCTCCAAACATATCGCTGCTACATAAGCACAATGCAGGAGTTATGTGCATGGGCATAGTTGTCCAAAACTATCTTTCAGCACGAGTTGACAGTTGAGAGAATTGCACAAGGTCGTCTTAGGGATACAAATACACAACTTTAACCCAGTACTTCCCGCTGTTTTGGATCCCATGAACTCTGATCAACAGTTACTTCTCCCAGCAACAGCTTATCCTCCCACCCTCCCTGACAACGTAAGAGAGCTTAATCAGATGGCTGAGTGGGAAAGCAAGCTGAGAAAGCAGGCTGAATGAGAAATTCTGCTAGATCAGTTGCAATTACAGTAGTGTTCTCCAAACTCACTGCATTAAAGATTGGTTAAGGTATTCACTTCTGCTTTAAATTAATTTAGCGGCCTCAACGATAGAATACTTAAACAACAGCGCTACTGCATACTTGGTAACCTGGCCAGACTTGATGTGATGCCGCCTTGCACCATAGAAGCTGGGCATCCTTTGGTACTCTAAAGTTTACACGGCACAGATCCCACTTCCCAAGTCACAGTGGGGAACCCACACACTATAGAGCATCATGCAGAGGAACAGCAGCAGCTTTCCACCAAGTCCCAGAAGCTACCGGTACTACATAAGCCTCCTCCTGTCCTGCAGGAATCACTTCTAACAGGTAACGATGGTCATGACTGAGATGGAAACAGGAGAGCCTTACAACTCTTCAGAAGAATGTTTTGTGGAGTTCTTTTTTCCCCTCAGTAAACTGGATAGCAATTGAAAATAAAGACGGTCAAGGGCCAATGGGCATCTAAGGCATAAAGTAATCGTGTGGGATGAACATACTGCCATTGCCCAAACAGCCAGCTGAAGCTTCTCAAAAATACTTCCCAGGCAGTTTTCTTTTTTTCTTTCCTGCAGTAGTACCATTAAAAAAAAAAAAAAAAAAAAGCTTGGTTTCTTGTTCTAGAGATATCCATCATTTATGACATGTTTTACAATTCTTGCAGGAGAAAACAAAACAGGCTTGCAGGGAAGCAGTGATTACCACCGTGCCAGAGAGCTACCTGAAGTCACACAAAACATTAGCGTTAGACAGAACTTTCAAAGAAGAAATCCCACAAATTTATCAGACAAGCAACACAGCCCATCATCAAACTACTCCCAGTCCCCTAAAACCCCCTTAGCCAGGGCCTTCAGACTGGAGCCACACACCTTTAGGCAAGGATTCTTGCACAGTTTAATCACTTTATCCTGCTGATATCTGCAGATGCTGACCATAAGGACGGCATTAAATTAACACTTAATGGAGCAATTCCTGAAAAATACTTTAAAAAAAATCCCTCTTAGAAGGGACCCAGGTAGGCATGACAGCCTCTGCTCAAAATTAACACACTGAAGAGCACCTGCTAAGCCAGGCTGTAGCAGAAATGATACAGAGCACATCTAGAAAAAAGAGCCTTAGGTGCAGTCTCTCCCACTATACTACACAAAAGGTTTGAAAGCTGTAGTTCACTTTTATAATGGGTGAGGTTTCACTGGTCTGCAGTGGAGAAGACTGTTTGGAAAAGCACCATCTTCCTCCACTCCTTTCTAGCACGCTCTCCAAACATCTCTTCCCTCAACAAGGGGTAAAACCAAAGAGCTACCGTCATCAAACTCTCCTAGTTAGACTAGGACAATGGAGTAACTGTGAGAGCTGTCTGCAACACATTTAGCCCAGAAGGATCAGAGGGATGGGGCGGCGAGGCATTTATATCCCAAGCCCTATGCGCAATTCCTTTCAAGTTGTCAACTCCTGCAGATGAGAGTTTTCTGATATGTGGCAACGCACCACTCTGGAGAGAAAGTTGAAAACAGCAGTTTTCCGAGAGAACTAGCAGACACTTAAAAATAACCTAGAGACTCTTGTTCATTCTACTCTGCACAATTAATACAGGAAATACACCACAAAATTCAGGTAGCTTCTGTTATATTAAGAACTGAGTGAATCGGAAGCCTTCCCTTTCCTGCACGCAAATTAACACACTGAAGAGCACCTGCTAAGCCAGGCTGTAGCAGAAATGATACAGAGCACATCTAGAAAAAAGAGCCTTAGGTGCAGTCTCTCCCACTATACTACACAAAAGGTTTGAAAGCTGTAGTTCACTTTTATAATGGGTGAGGTTTCACTGGTCTGCAGTGGAGAAGACGGTTTGGAAAAGCACCATCTTCCTCCACTCCTTTCTAGCACGCTCTCCAAACATCTCTTCCCTCAACAAGGGGTAAAACCAAAGAGCTACCGTCATCAAACTCTCCTAGTTAGACTAGGACAATGGAGTAACTGTGAGAGCTGTCTGCAACACATTTAGCCCAGAAGGATCAGAGGGATGGGGCGGCGAGGCATTTATATCCCAAGCCCTATGCGCAATTCCTTTCAAGTTGTCAACTCCTGCAGATGAGAGTTTTCTGATATGTGGCAACGCACCACTCTGGAGAGAAAGTTGAAAACAGCAGTTTTCCGAGAGAACTAGCAGACACTTAAAAATAACCTAGAGACTCTTGTTCATTCTACTCTGCACAATTAATACAGGAAATACACCACAAAATTCAGGTAGCTTCTGTTATATTAAGAACTGAGTGAATCGGAAGCCTTCCCTTTCCTGCACGTACCAAAATAAGGAGACCTGCAAGGGTGGAAGAGTGGTATCCATGCAGACTCAGTAGTTATTAAGAACAGGCTTAACACAACAATTAAAAAACCCCAACTATTTAGCTACCTCTGGAGTGTCGATGTCTTGCACTGGTGAGTCACCATCATCGTCGCTGCCTTTCCTCTTTCTTCTGTTTCTCACACTCTGAATTAAGTTTTTGTGGAAGTCACAAATATACAGATGTCTTGCCTAGAAGAATAACACTGCGTCTTTCAATCAAATCAACGTTAAGTATCTCCCAGACTTTCGATATAAATGCACGTACAGAGACAACCCTCCAGCAGCCACAGTCACGTTGACTGGGTTCAGGAAGCTCTCCTCCTGGATTATTCTAAATAAAGAATGTGCTATGCTACAGATCACTGCTGCCACCGGCTCAGCCCAGAGGATACCAAAGTGCTGCAATCGTCTGATTCAGTAGTAACAGGCTGCAGAGACACACGAGCAGAACCCTCCCTCCGGCCACTCATCGCAACTCGGGGAAGCAAACAAACAAAAAAAGAACCTTTCAGTTGTTCTTTGGAGGGCAGAAAGCCGGCTCTCTTTTCCCATCTATATCCGCCCCCCTCTCCCCCCTGTTTTATTCTTACTACTTAGGCGAGGTCAAGCAGCACACTTCCCCCCC